ATATATATATATATATATATCTCTTGAAATAAGATGAAAATTGTGAAAGTGAGCAAATATTTACTAGGACATTTATAATTTATTATTACCTAGTGAATTTGTATATTTTTGTAATTTTAACCTAAACCTATTAGTTTCAAGATGTACAATCGATTCCCTGAACGTGATTGTAATATGATTGTCGGAAGCTATGTTTTTAGATTACAAAATATTAGATTACAAAATATGCAGGTATGTGAAAGAAGATGCTTCCAAGGCTGTTGAAAGAGAGATATAACAGAAATTAAACGGAAAAATTCGACAAAAAATTCGAGTGTTACAGGAAACGAAAGCACTTACACAACAAAATCAAACTTGATCGCATTTATATTTGTCATTTTTTTTTTCTATTGTATTCTTATTGAAACTGACAATGAGATATGCTGCAAGAAGCAAACTTTTTTTCAATTATATGCATTACATTATTGCTTACAATAAACTATTTTTTTGTTTCTTGAGTGTGGATGACTAGTTGTTAAGCCTGTTCTACAATGTGCTTTTTATTTCCTGTTTCTTGCTTTTTGCTATTTTTTACATCTTGTCTTTTTGCTTTTTATTCGGTTTTTTGTTTTATATCGCCTGAGATAAAAGTTAACGAACTTCGAAAGAAACAAGAAATACATAGCAAGAAATACAATTGTCGATAAAACGGTTGCAAAAGATAAAAAAGCAAAAAATAAAAAATAAGAAACGGGAAACAAAGAGCATATTGTAAAATAGGCTTTAGAAATAAACGAAAAAAACTGAAGGAAAAAACAAAAAGCAATCTAACTTTTTTTACAGTAAAATTATTCTTTGAAACTTTTTATTGCTACAATAACATTATCATTAACATCAATTTTTATACTTGACTTACTGATTTATGGCTAGAGAAATTAACGGATTAAGCTGTACCGCTTTATTATATTATATATGTACGAGGTCAGTCCGGAAAGTATCCGACTTGTGTTGTAGCAGGAAAAAGATTAATTTTAATCAACAACTATATAATGTCCTCTATTCCTCTTTGGAAACCACAATCTTCTTCTAATGACCTTCCCACTTCTGAAAGCATTCCTTAAAATCGGCTTTCGGAATAGCCAACAGCTGCCTCGTCGTATTTCGTTTTATGTCCTCTATATGCCCTCAAACCTTTTTCCTTTTAAAACATTTTTTACTTTGGGGAACAGCTAGAAGTTGTAGGGAGCTACATCTCATGACTGTAGGAGGTTGACGAAATTGCATGATGTCGTATTTCACCAGGAATTATTGGACAAGAATGTAATGAATGAGTAGGTGCTTTTTGTCATAGTAATCTAGTCACCACTTTTCTACAACTTAGGCTTTTCTTTTCACTGCATCACGTAACCATTTTAGAACTTGTAGGTAATACTCTTTGTTTTTCGTCTGGCCTTTTGGACCTTATTCATGATGAATGAAACAATGTCTTCCTGCCTGGCCAAAGACAACAGTCTTGAAACTACTCCGATTGACTTTTTAATCTGTTTATTATTAATAGATTTGTTTCTATAAATTTTATGAATTATACTGATTATTTCAAAACAAGAATTGTCAAATTTTTATCATTTCAAAATTTAATGTAAACTCTTTATTCACGATACGTTTAGTCATGATTATATGAAATGTAACGGTTTACAATTAGCGCTAAATATTTCTGAAATATTTATAAAAAGATTTCCTAAAAAATATAAAAAAAAACATTTTAATAATATTCTGGAATATTTCGAAATATTTACGATAATGTAAAAGCAACTTCAAAGACTGGTTAAAAATTCTACTTGTATACGAAGATTATTTGAAAAGTTCTTGGCCCTGACATAAGTAAAAATGACCACACATATTAAATCGTTATAATTTAGATAAATTTAGATATAATTTAGATAAATTTGATCCTGCAGAGGGCTAGTAAAATTTCAGACAGATGCATTCATTAGTTTTTTGTTTCGGTCGTGTAAATGTAAAGCAACCAACTTTTTTTCGTTTCGCGAAAAGTGACATTCAAGTTGACATTCCATACTTTCAATTTTTGTTTTCCATATTTATGTTTTTCATATATATTTTGTTAACATGAAAGAGTGAAATAAAAAGTCCGTGCGCATAATTTAAACTATAAAGAAATTGCACGTTTATTACTATCGTGAACATGTTGTTGTTATTGTTGCCGGTAGAACATGGTGAGAGGTGATAAAGTACAGATAGTTGCAGTACCATTGGAATGTCGATCCATACCGAAGGCTGCAATGTGCAGCAGGCACACCTTGTCGAATCGTATGTTGTTCTCGGATCATATGTTGATTCAAACTTGGCTCGGGAGATCGGACATTCGCATAGAATGATATTTGCGGTTACATTTGTGATCGCAAAATTTGCTCCTCTAAATAAATAAATTACAGAGTTTATTACAGAGAATTATAAAGTAAATAATGTAGATTTTTCATTTAGAGTATATTGAGAATTAAGCTAATTCATTTATTGATTAATTCATTTATCATGTAAATATCTTTCAAGATTTACATTAAAATTACAAATGAACTGAAGAAATTCCGCTTAATTATTGCAGCTGATTATTTAATTCGAAAAATTGAAAACTCGCAAGATTTGGTACTTTTTTTCTCCAGCTTGAAATTCTTAATCATTCGATGGACTTGCCGATCAATCTCATTTTTTCATTAATATTGTATATTATTAGCCATATTGTCACAGCTGCAACTTTAGAAATGCATATATACATCACTTTCGCAGAAGAGAAAAGAGGAGGATAATCTGGAGATACGGTAGTGTGCTAAGACATGGCGCGAGACATTACTCCTTTTTCGCGAGATTATCTCAATAACGGCTGTTACGATATACACCACGCGGTAAAGATAAAATTATTTTCTTCATGGTAAGGATCATTTTAATAAAATTTCACACAAAGGGTTTCTTTCTTTTTCACAGAAATATTAATCTATCAGGATAATTGCGCATTGGTGTAGGGGGTCAGTTTAATTCTTACAAAAGACAATGACAGGCATAAGATTTCAGGCAGCAACGCATTGTGCAGATATTGTGCAGATATTCCTCATGACCTCATTATGAAATAATGTTGCACTGGAAGTAGTTTACAGCAAAATCGCAGTTTCGCAAAAATAACGTAAAGCGAAGAACAATATAGCTACAGAGAAACAAAAAATCAAATAAACAAAAAATTCTTTTGTGTGAAATAAAAATATGATAGAGAATTGATTTAAAATCAAGTTTATCAATTTTTTAGAGAAAAATTTTACGATTTTTTTTTTTTTTTTTTTTTTTTTTTAGAGGAGAATGATCGCAGTCAGAAAAATAGTGAGAAATTTCAAACAAGTTTTGAACGTGGTAAGATATGTTACACATTACACGTCGTAGTTTCGAAAATATAGATTCAACGATGAATTCATTGTATTCTCTCTCTCGTTTGCGTAGCTTTTTCGTTACCTGAGATTATTTTTCGAATCTTTCGATCTTTTTGATGAGATAAAACCAACACTTTTCGGTCTATAGATCTGGCTCTTACCATTGCGCATTGTTCTGGTAAGCACATACACAACATGCGTGCAAACACGCAGGCACGCGGTCCACACTCACATATGTGTACCAACATGCGTGTGTAGAAAAACAGGAAGAAGGGGAAGAAAGTGAAGTCTCGTGTAGACATTGATATTCACGGTTTATTTCGACTCTACACCGTATTTATATTTAAAAATAGTGCCTTATTATAAATATTATTCACTTACTAATGCAAATCATGTTACATAATATTATGTCGAACAATAACTGCTAATAAATATTATACTAAACTGCTATAATAAATTTCAAATTCTATTACTACAGTAAAAAAATTTAAGAGTTAAAAATTTTTCTTTATCTCATAGAAAAATATTTGTATGTACATCTGTTGAATATGATAGGTTACAGCGGAGTAATTTGGACAAGTTAATGGAAATTTTAAAATTGTGTAAAAAATTAAAGTCACAGAGTGTATTCAATCATACACACAAAGCATATACTATTACATCAATTATGTATGATCCGTATATATTCGCCTAAATGCACTATGCAATCTCAATCTTTT